CCATGCGGAACGTGATCCTCTAGGTTCTATAACTATGTGTATGACAGTTGTGACCTAAGCATCCTGATGCTCATACTCCGTCAACAGCACATTAGCAATAAGTAAGGAAACAGGAATCTGTCGTAGAGTATCACGTAAAATAGCTAAGTATGTTAGAGCTGATGAGCGAGCGTTACGTTCTGTCCAGTGTGCTCTATAGTACATCAGAGTCTACTTTCTTCAAAATGAGTGTAGGCTCCTCACTTCCTGACTAGAAGTGAGATACATTGGGACATGCTCGTCGCAGGAAATCGTCTAAATCTCATTGCTAAGTGATCATTGGCATTAACCATTGGCATAACATTTACATGATACATCCTCATTCGTGCAACATCCTTTCGATTGCACAACACGATACACAGGGTTCTGAGTTCGAAAGTGCGATCAGAATTAGAATGCTTGCCCTCATCACAGTACGGCATGTATATTCACTTACATGTCAATCAGCATCTACTATGTGCAAATGCTGCTCCATCGACAATGGTGCTATCAGGACTGTGAGCTTAGCGCCGTGTATCTGATTAGTCTGCAATATTGCGCAACAGCTGAAATTGCTATATGTTGCTGCCTCTGCATTAACAGCCTAGCAGATCAATCAGTTGGCAGAGGAAAGGACTACCTACTTTGCAGACTGTGTTGTACGTGATTAAGATCGATTCTTGAGATGTATACCATCGTGATTAGTCAGAGTGCATGAAAAGCAGCCGCACTTCCGTAGCTACTTGGACAGTAACTTCCCCTGAAGTGAGATGTATTGTCATTCCTCCTCCTCTTACGTTATCCGTGTGAGGTCTGTATAAGTCTGGTGTTGACCTCAACTGAAGACCTCGTGGCACGTGACACCAAATCTCGCTAGTGAGCACAATATACAGTAACTAGTTGCGATGAGTTGTGACCAGGCTACTGACATCTCTACTGTTCCCTTGCTCGGCATCTTCCACCTTACAGAACAATGTCTGTTCCAGCATTGTCATCCCGCCAGATGAGCACCTGTGGATTCAGTTTGGGGATTCCGGGTGGTGTGCGGCACATGAGCTCCTGCAAGTTCATCACTATCGCACGTGGGTGCGCGCTATGACGCATGTGTATGTCACTGTGTGAAATTACTGAGTCAGGGAGCCAGTCCAATCAAAATGCTACTCCGTCAGACATGGCACACACGGCTACAGTCTTCGACGTGTCATGAAACTGCTGTGTTTCTCCGAGCTATGCTGCACCTCCACCTTCAGCTCACCCATGCCATGCGGCTGATCACGAGACGATACACACTTTAGCTCAATGTGCTGGCCCTAAATGAAGATACCGTCGGTGTCTAAAAAATGCGGCAGTGAATGCAGCAACTGCAAAACTATAGGCAAATACACACGTCCATCAGCAGTATGATCTTCTCTGAATATCAGATCATTTCCCCGTCGCACAGGCTAGTGTACCAGATAGCCTTGCATGCTGGCATCTTTGCGAATCTGTCCGACAATATTTGCTCTGGTCTATGAGTTAGTTTGCATTTGCAGCCCTACCATAGCAGCACAGAAACATTACAAGACTATTAGATTGTCTTATAGCGTCTATGTACTACTGTGTCTACGACCTAGCCAGGGTCTGCTATCAAATTGTCGTCGTTTTACATCTGAGGTCTAGATGATTGGAATGAGAACAATACTGCAAATCATTCCATAGGATAGCATCGGTTCGCAAAGAATAATGTAGAGACAGACAACCTATGCCCCTCCGTAAATAACTGTTTGTCCAGTGGTATATGGGGCAACACGCACTGCATTACACATCGATGTAATTCATAGCCATGCAGGCACTACTAAATGTCACTCCTGTATGCGAACAGTGTTTACAGTCCGTACTGATAACTGAACGCACTCTACATACTCTGGGCCATTCAATCAATCTACGTCTGTACATCAAAGCAACAGTGTCAATCAGGCAGCAGCGGCCCCAGCATAATATTATGGCAGTCAGCACACAACTTCTGAAAACTGTGAGCCATTGGATCATGACACGACTCACGCTGATATCATGCTTGCGACAATCTGCCTGTGTGCTCTGCCCTTACATTGCGGCATCCAACACGAAGCATATCTGCTAGTGCACGTTGCGCGCGGATGGCATGGTGTCTCGTGTCGCAACTGTGGCATGACGAGCTAGATGAGCGTAGTACGACACCCACTCCAGCCACAGTCTGACGTCGAACTCTGCCTGAGTTAAATCCCCCTCGGCGACAGGCAGCGATACACGTGGCTATCCATCAGAGACTATAGCTGCGGAGGACAACCGCCTGGTGTGAGTAATCCAACACCAACTGACGTCTATATTGGTAAACTGGTATACACAATGGCTGATGTAAGTATGCATAACTGTGGTAAATCCCTCCACGTATAGAGGTGTAGGAAAAATGCCAGGTCATTTCCAGTGAGGCCTCCTATCAGACTAGAAGGCAGACGAAAGTGGCACCACCTGATTCTCATCCTGCTACATAATCAATTTGGGGGAGCTAAGTATTTCCTTGTGTCAATTGCACAACACCATTGGGGAGTGGCAGGGATGCACAACCTACATTGCTCTAGCTATTGGAGTAAGACCTGATGTCATAGTGCCGGACAAGGGACAGTCAGTTTACAGAGTGAGAGGAAGTAGGGAATTGACCACTCACAGCTCCCCCACACTTCCAGGTGAGACAAAAGTGGTGTCCTGGGAATCTTGGTGACTCGTGGTCATACCCACTGACACTACCGACTGTGAACGGGTTCACTGGAGCTGACTTATACCTCCAACGTACAGGCTGTGGATACACCTCTGAAGGTGAATGGTTTGAAACATGCAAGGACATTGAAAACAGTCATCTTTCCTTCACTTGACCGTATTAATGACAAATGCAGCGTGGTTCAAATGCGTGTATGAGTGGGAGCAGAATGTTTCTAGGTCCCCTAGCAATTAGCACCATCTGCCATGCATACAAACAACAGTCTCTTCCATTGAAATAATTAACTGATTCCGGTGAATCCCCATGTTACCCATCATGAAAGTATATACCATACCTTCCCCCCAGTTCCCTATTTCCCTATTCCTATTTCCCAGCCATGTAGGTGCATCACTTTCTATGTCCCACTGGAAAGTCAAACACAGAGAACTCTGTGTAAACATTAGAACTTGTGATTTTACTGTGCCTCACACCACAATTGGTGTGCTGGACTTACCCTACAGCCCTATGTGTAATGCTAAAAGGTATTCTTCATAACCTGGGAGCGATTATCTTACTCACAGGGGACAACCCCAGGTTATTTCCACTACTGTCTACTCATGCAATGCCAGCAAACCTTAGTGGAAGTGAGAGCATAATGTTCAGGCTGTTGTTGGAAATTTATTGGTGATCTAATCGATTATTCTATTTATACATCTATACGTTATTCAACTGCAAATGCGTTTGGATTACACGATTCTTTTTATTAAATTTTTAAACGCTGCCTAGCTCCATCCTCGATGCACGATCTAGCCAGCGAGAGAACTCCCGTCCATTCGAGGGAATTCGCTGCACTCTTCGGTGCCTGACCGAGGCTGTACCTCTTTCCAATCTTCGTGGTTCCAAGGTACAGGTGGTAAATCGGCTAGGATGGTTCGTGCAGATACAGTCATCATTTGCTAGCCCAAAAAATTCCTTGAATATACATATTGGTTTTATATTTTGCTCAATTTCACACACGTAATTTCTAGTTCTGTCACACTCTGTCGTTAGCAATTTGTACCATAAACCTTAAACAGCATATCTACGGTGTATGTAGTGTGCATGTTATGTTTCGACATACAAACAAGAAAACAGATTTTTTACAGCAGACTCCAGGGCTAGTTCTGTAAGTGAAACCAAGACAAGGACAAATTGCAGTGCAGACAATTTTCCGAGAAAGATAGCACATAGCGTGACCATGCCACGAGACTATGCATGTAAGCATACATAGAGAGCAGCGTGCCCTATAACATGTGCCCGTCACACACCATCTCCTAATACCACTGGTGTAGTGGTAGGCAATTGAAGAGTAATACATACATGCAGTCTGCACTGACTACCACACATTATCATCAATTAGGAGGGCAGTACAATATCTCATTTCGTCTCTTATTTCCCCAGACAACCTACACCTACACACATTACTCCTGCCCACACCAGCAACTGTGTGTGGAGGTGTTGGACAGTTCAGTTTTCAATTCCTCCCTACACTGCCTAGCAACGCACAATTCCCTTTCCTTGTCTCTCTAATTAGATAACCCAGGTGCATTCCAGACATTCCTGGGCCAGGGTCTAGGGAGTGTGACCTACTGGACCCAGGGAGGGAGGGCGTCTGAAGGAAGTAGAGTAGACTAGACGTTACTAATGACAATAGTCTCTCATTCTTGGTAAGGTCCAATACCTGTTGGATGGTAACAGGTATGGGCACAATTGGTAGTGTAATTTACATCACAATCACTATACTGTCCACCAAGAGTTACCTAGTTAACCATATTCAATTTCCTTCTCAAGGACAACGAAATACTCTCCACATAAGGCGCAGGTTAACGGGGGGAAAAGATAGCATTCTGACTGCCAGGATATTCTTGTGGAATGACAATTGTTCATATAAATATGTCAGGTCAAATTGAGATGAGATACATCATTGGAAGTGAGGTGTGAGTGTCGACAATTAATAATAATTATGGGGTATTCTGGAGAAGAAAGGAAGAACTTACGTGCGTATTTCCAATAAAATTGAACAGTTCAACATAGCTCAAGTGCATAAAATACGTCGTACAGTGATTACACCCCAAGTGTAGATTACCATTTGACACAGTAATCACAGATGAACCTTCAAAATGTAATGTCCTGGAAGTCATTGATTAGTAATTACATGTATGTACCTTACTTATGATTCATGCACTGCGCTCTGTAAATGGCACACGACCGCAGAATTGAGAGTGACTGACTTGGCAATGATCTTGAAGTCAGCCCTGTGCTCCCTGCCTCTCTCCACGGCCAGGTCACATGTCCTCAGGCACTGCTCCCAGTCCGCCTGCTCATAGTAGACAGCTAGCCAGTCATACCAAGTGGGAGGAAGCGGGAGAGAGAGAGAAATAAAGAAAGCAAAAAAATTTGGGTGTGGACTGTTAGTGGTCGGTAAAACGGACCCGAATGTGGCTGAAAGACTACTATGTATAATTGTAGTTCACATTGGTTCAATATATCTGCTCATATGTAAGTGGGCTCTTTTCAAACAAATGTTGGTACTTCGTTTCAGCACATCGGTAACCACTCTAAACGCACAACACAGTTGAAGTGGATTCCCAGTGGATGCCTTGCTAAACTGTTCAGAGATCGAGAACTGTTCAGTTGAATTGTATTGGGACAAGAAACAATATTTCATAGTCGTCTGAATTGCAACCTTTTCCATAACCGACCATCACCACAACAATGTGTGTGCACATACAGTGGTTCAAAGGTCGCTGAATTAGTTCCAGTACAATACCCACCGGCCTTGTTGGTGAGGAAGGTGATATTGGTGGGGTCCAGCTCCAGAGCCCTGTCATAGTGCTGGAGTGCCACGTCAAACTCTTTCTTCTTGTAGGCCGCGTTTCCCTTCTCCTTCTCCTCCAGTGCCTGCAGAACACACAGTCTACAGTATGGGTCTCCTGCTAACGTATATAGCCTCGTTCCCAGGCTCAAGTGAGAGGGAGCCTATCTACATTGCTTGAGATCACACGTGACATACGGTCATAGTATAGGACTGAAGTTCCTCCACTTCACAAAGAGTTTGGGAGTGGAGAATTTCAGTCGACAAAACTCCGGGCCATGTGAACACGCTACTAATGTATATGTCCCTAGGAGGAACATACACATTCACACAGCACTCTACATAGACAGACAAGAAGTATGCTCTACATTGACAGTGAGGGAGCAGTGGGATCACCACAATTTATTTATAGTTTTCCGTTTCCCGAGTTTTTCCCGAGTTTGACAGGACCGAGGAATGTTACTCTAACTCAACGCCGTGCGATGACACTTGTCGGGGAGAGAGGTGCACCTTGCTCCTGTCAGGAGGAGCAACACGAGTGGGGGCATTAGTCCTGGTCTGGTGGACTTCTCCCGGTTCTCCTGTGAGGTCCTCCAGGTCTTCCAAGGTCTGTGGAGGAGGTCTCACCAGAGGATCCCCTCCTCCCCCTCCTCCTCCTCCTCCTCCTCCTCCTCCTACATACATAGGTACACAATGCCACACTCACCAGTCAATAGACCATTTGTTTTACGGACTGAGGAATTTGTTTACATAAAACGTTTCTGGAGTATGCTACGTCACCATATTTTTGGGGTCAAACGGGAATTATGTCATTCCTTAGATTGGGTAAGGAGTGTTGTGTATAAATACTGTATGTATATACCTGGTGTTGGGAAGTTAATATTCATCAGCACAGCTAGGGCTGTCACAATACGCTCATCCTCCATGTGTCTGAGAACATCATCATCGTCATCATCATCATCAGGGAACAATTACAAAATCAAGGATGGGTAAAAACTATAACTATCGAGATTTTGTAAAAACGCGCTGATAAAAATAAAAAACCGACTAGCTCAAACATTTAAGTAAGAGTACTTACTATCTCAGGGGAACAAGCTGATCAAACTTTTCACCATGAATAAAGATTTAATTATCAGGGGCAAATGACTAGCGTACTACACTGATTCAATAAAACACAAACAAGATGGCAGAAAGGTGGTAGAGGAACACACCTCATTAGTTTGTTGGGCTCAGCTCGGAGTTCCTCCAGTTTGGAGACAAATGCTGCGTCCTCCATGAATGCCTTGGTAGTGGAGCTTGCTCTCAGACGATCCATCGTGTCGGCAGCGCAGAACGGATTTTCAATAGCCTCTAAAAATGATGACGATACTTTAATGAAATCCTACACTGTACTTTATCACGAATGTGTTACGGTATAGAAGCAGAAGTGCAGACGATTTGTTAGCCCACTGACTTTGTTTGCTCTGAACCCTATTCAAGGCGTTCTCCAGGTCTCTGTGACCAGGATGGGTGGCCAGAGCTCTGCGGTAGGTGTCGCTGGCGTCCTTATAGCTCCTCATCCCTTCAAACACCTCTCCTTTCAGTAGCAGAGCCTGCACAGCACAGACACACACAGGGTGACACACTCAGCAATCCAAAATAAAGAGGCATTTTAGAGTTGCCAAATGGGTCATGGATTCCAAGAGATTTACTAGTGATCCAACAGTGATGCATTTTCTCAGATACTGAAGCTACTAGCTGCTCTTACTATACAGCACCTACAACACATGGAGAAAAGGCTGCATGGCTCCTTGCATGTACTATTTGCCAGGTAAGCCTATAACCTAACCTAACAGGGCATACTTAGTCATCAAACTCTTAGTAGTTATCCTATTAGCAAAGTGTGTATGTATATACCTCAGCGTTCTTGCTGTCTATTCTCAAGGCTCTATTGACATCAGAGAGAGCACTCTGATGGTTTTTCTGTAGCCGGTGGACCTGAGCCCTCCTGAGGTAGGCCTCACTGTTCTCAGCATCCACCTCCAGGACCTGGGAGTAGTGGCTGACAGCTGTGGGGTACTGCCCCGCCTCCCTAGCCTCGTCCGCACATCTCATCAGCTCCTCCACCTCCTCCCTCTTCCCCTGGGAGACCGTTCAGCCGCAACTATGTACACGTCGCCCGCCACGGTTGCATATGTATGGCTACACACACTGCTTCACGCATAGCTTTGGCGTTGGTTACAAACGTTAGAGCTTGCCACCCTGTAACTGACGTTGCCAACCGCCCATTGACAGGACACACTATTCAAGGTGATCCCACTGCTCCACCCAATGAATACACACAGAAGTTGTGTGCTCTGTATTCACCTACAGAATACTGACATGCCCAGACAAATGCACTCACTTTTGCCTTGTTGTCAGCCATGTATGCTGCAACGTTACTGAGCTCGCTCTACCGGTACTTGCTGCCCTGCGTGCGCACTTCTCTAGGCCAGAGTAAGAACAAGCATGCTGGAATAGATGAACTTTGAACCTGCGATCTACCGCGAACATTCTGGATGGAAAAGGTAGGTGCGGCTTGGATCATGCGCATGCGCATTGGATGGGGACGGAGGGCGCGCGGCGCGGGACGACATGGCGGGAAGTTCCAGCAGCAAATGGAGCAGAACTCCAGTCCAGAGTCTCCCCATCCACCCCAGAATACTCTCTGCATTGAGAAAAGGTTCGACACTGCTAGCCTCAGCTGCAAAAACAGCTAACTAAATTCTCCCGGTCGTCTCTCAGGAGGTATACTTCACGTGTCTTCCGTGCTGGAGGAGAGCTGCAGTGGGCTGGGGAGGAGGACAGGACTTAGTGAGGCAGAGGTGAAGGGTCTGGTGAGTGAGGTAGCGAGAGCAGTCCTTGCTGGCTCTCCCTCACCCTCCACTGCCCTCTCTCTCTATCTCACTGGGCAGTCCCAGCACTGCTGGGGTGAGACCATTGTCATGTGTAGCTTTAGGAGACTGATTTCTTTAGGCCTAATGGTTTAGCTCCACACATTTGAAGGAGAAGCTCTATGCTCTCAATTGCAAGTAGCTATATAGCTACAATGCCTGTAAAACAAGGTACACCAATAGAGAAAAGGTGTCCTGTTTTAGACAGACTGTGAAGTTTCATGAGACTTTCGACTCATGCAACAGATTTTTGCCATTGTATGATGGCTTTAATTAAAGGGAATGTGGCAGGGCTAGGCCAAAGTTCAAGAATGTAATGAAGTTTCCATTTTCAGTATATAAGTTTCTAAGTTTAGCCCTTATGCTACTGTGTTGTTACAGGCAGACTGAGTGTTGGTTGTGGGCTACTGGACTCAAGTCTGAGAGGAGGTCTGCTGGTGTCGGGACTCACAGAGATAGCCGGGATCAGTGCAGCAGGCAAGACACAGCTCTGTCTCCAGCTCTGTCTCACCGCTCAACTACCCAGGACTCATGGGGGACTCTCATCAGGTGACACTGACTTACATAATGTGCTGTATGTACACCTCTATTAAAGGGAATGTGGCATTATCACAACAGAAATGCTACTAAAGATGGAACTAAACAATTTTACTTATAACCTGCCAACATTGTTGTGTTTTAGTGATATAGTACACATTTAACAAGTGGTACAGCAGTTTGCAGCTCTCCACGTAATATATTTCCAAGCAGAGAGCACGACACCCTTAAAACGGTGCCCTGTCTACTAAATATAGCGATTTGATGTTTCCAGCAGCGAGAATGATAGAAGGCCTCTCACATTAGAGTTCCAATGTGGTTATTGGGTGTGTGTCTGCAGGAGCTGTGTACATCTGTACCCAGGATGTGTTCCCTACAAAGAGACTGCGGCAGTTGACACAATACTTCAGTCAGAGGCACACACACTCTCATCCCTCGCTCACCGCACAACATCTCTCAGATAACATCTTTGTGGAACACGTGGCAACGATAGTGAGCAGTAGGATTTTATATCGTGTATCATACAGTGGAAATTTAGCGACGTTTTTTTCCTGGCTTATTTTTAATTCCCGTCCTACGGTCCGTGTTCTCCTCCTCCTTTCTGTTCTGTGCAAGTCAATCTGTTATTTTGCACATTATGTACATATAGAAGATCCTTACACACCACTTGTAGTTTGTTGCAGTAACACAAACGTTAGTGGTGTTCATGTGGTTCCATTTCTACTGGATTTATTCCCCATGGTCACCCTACAGTAGATGCATTACCACAGCAGTTATTGTATGGGGAATATACTATTTCTCCCAATTTCCAGTCGTCCCTGACGGCGCAGTTGGAGTACAAGCTGCCGGCTCTGCTGAGCACAGGAAGAGTGGGTGTGGTCATCATAGACTCTATTGCAGCTCTATTCCGGGCAGAGTATGGGGCGGGGCAGGCGGCCCAGCGAGCCGCAGTCCTCCAGACCTGCGGGGCTCGACTGCACCATCTCTCTGCCAGCTACGGAGTGGCAGTCGTCTGTGTGAATCAGGTCCTTACACCACTAGTCCTGCAACTGTGAACCCACTTTTCAACGAACATCCTCTGAAATAACAGACACTTTCTTCTGTCCCATTGGTGTCCAGCTTAGACTGATTCCACTGTATTGTATATAGCTGCCACCAACTTACGTCTTGATCATCTTGCATGGCACAAGTACAGCAGAGCCACCATCTTTCCTTAAGAGCCAATATGCCAATGATCTTTGAGCTGTGTGCTATTAATTACGCTTAAGAAAAAACTTGGGTCTAAAACGACAGTAATGAAAGTGTTTCTCCAGCAAAGGTTTCCAGGTGTATATACTAATGACCTGTACTGTGACCTCCCCAGGTGACGGCAGTGATGGAGGAGAGAGGAGGGGGTGTGGCTCCTGCCCTGGGACTGGCGTGGGCCAGTCTAGTCACCTCCAGGATCACTCTCTCCAGAGACGAGACTGTCCACTCTAATCTCGACTGCTGCAAGGTACTCAGTAGTAGTCCTGCATTACATATATATACCAGCAGGTCTCTCCTGCCTGTACTGCTACACTTCTATTCTGATGCATCGTGAAAACACATCAAACCTAATCCATTTTATTCTGGCTGCAGATTAAAGTTCAGGTCTAAATATTCGTTGCTTTGCCTCACCATTTTTAAGTGTGGGGAAAATTTGCCAAGACAAAACTGCACGTGTATATACCATTGTGTCACTGGGTGCAGGTTCCTACAGCTGTGAAAAGGGAGTTAGAAGTTGTGTTTGCACCCCACCTCCCACCGGTGTCAGTAGACTATTATGTAACCAGTGCTGGCATCCATGGCAACCAAAACATGGCCAACTGTTGCCCGGCGACCTAACTATGACCGACAAACACCATGGCCAATGTCACTTTAATATCCAGTATAGTGTCTCCTGATTCAGTATCCATGTTTTCAGTACCAATGCATACTTACTGAGTGCTCTTACTGTATGTATATACCTGCTACATAGATGTGTGCTGATGATGTGGGCACAATGTGTGGTGTAGTTTTTGAATGGCTTATCATGTAAACAACCCCCCTGCATAGATACTGTCACATAAAATACAGTCTTATTACCATAAATATACGTCATTACCCTTACGGGTGTGTCAGCACTGATATACACATATACACAACGAATAATGTCTGGTAGAAAAGGACGCGAAAGAGTTAACGTGATATGTTGCAGATTTCAAAGACGTATGTGACCAGGTAGACTGCGTTGAAGCCAATCATACCGTACGTGATGATCTTGTATGGCAGTTCGACCAGCGGTCTCTTTACCACCTCCTGTACTCCGTGAGTCGGCATGATGAGTGGGAGCAGTCGGAAACACAGCAGTTTCATGACGAACCTGGTGGGCAGGAGTAGAAGAACGCCCACCACGAACCTCACAATGCTCAGACCCACTACATATAGTGATGGTAGGGCCAACTCAAATGGTCCCGGGTCAATGTCGTCCGGGAACCTGCCGTACACGTGGAACCCCAGTACAAGTCCAAACCCTGAGCCCAGAATGGCACCCGTGTCTCCTCGATCCACGGACCAGTTGTCGGGGTCCACCGGGTAGATGTACAGGAGGAATATAACTAGCAGGGGCACGGCAATCAGGGTGTAGTTGTAGTCAAACGCGAGCCAGTCAAAGAAAGGTAGTCCCGGGATACATACAATGAGCATGACAACTGCCACAGCCCAGCCTCCCAGAAGATCCTGTGGCAATAAATAACAATTTATAGTAAAGCACACATGGCATAATATTTATATCGTATGCAGTTCTGGTTTTCGATGTAAGTATATATATATATATATATTCATTATAGTTTATTGCCCCTCTATGGCTGCTTACTACTTCCCACTTCCCAGCCCATATAACAATGTGTATTGGTGAATTAACCATGTAAATTGTGTCCATAAAATGTTCAAAGACTCATCCTCCCATACTTATTTGTTAGCACAAAAATGTGCTGCTTCCATTTAGTGTCCATCACTTTTGGCCACCTTCTATGTATGTGCCACACCCAAAACAGTGTGTGTGTAAACATGTCACATCCTTGTGACTTTTATCTTTTAGCTCAACGTGTAAGAGTGTTTTTTCAATGAAAACTGGAAAACCACACCCTACATGTTTTGCAGCTACAGTGCCAAGCACTAAGAGAGTAGAGTGGTCATCTTTGCCCAATTTCTCAGTCCAAATCCACATAAGTTACATATCAAAATGATCCTCAATCATTGCTGATTAATGATAAGGGTCCCATGAGGCCATGTGATAGTCACGTGACATTAACAACCTCTGAAGTATGGTGTTAGAAAGTAGAGCCAACTAACCAGTGGGCTGTGGACACCAAGATAGAGTCTGCTGAGACACACGGAGCCACACCACAGACAGGCCAGGGGACCTCCAATCCACAGAGGAATCTGCATTGAATAGCTGGGCAATAGCCCCACAGGAAACTAGCTAAAACACCCCACAACTTACGTTGTAGCGCAAGTATGCCCGGTAGGCAGCGTAGAAGGGTATGGTGGTCGATACGGTGGCGTGAGTGGACGGGAACCCGTACTCAGTCTCGAGGCTAGGGTTGATCTCTAGTCGGATGGCCGGTGGAGACGCAGGTCGCCTGATCCTCCATAGAGCCTTGCAGGCTTGCCCAATGTACATGGAGCCAATCCATAGCACTACCATGTGTCGCGTCACAAGAGTGTCCACATTCCAGATGAGAAAGGGGAGGACTGTGATGTAGAAGGGCTCGTAGCCGAGCTCAGTGGCTAGTTTGAAGAAGATGTCGAGGGCGGGGATGGTTTCAACGATGATGTCCTCGGGCTCCGGGGAGGAGATCGGGCTTAGGTGGGCCAACACTGGGTGTCGCAGGCGCTTTCTCCTTTTGGTTGCCAGCCACCTGAGGTTGCCCCCGCCCAGCGCTCCACCTGCGTTAGCGACGGAACCATTGGCAGAGGTCCCCTCACAAGCTCTTCTTCTCTCGTGGTCTACCCCGGCCTCCGTAGCTTGCCCTCCGTTCGACTTCGAGCCGGCGACGGTCTTGGGCGTGGCTATCCTTTTCACTCCCAGGCGCTCTTGGATACTGCGAACTAAGTGCGGGTCCTGGAGGTAGTCAACAGCTGCTCTAACTGTGTTACCCATCGCGCCTTCGTCGGTATTATACCTCGGCAGAGTTCGAGTCAGAGGGCTAGGGGTCTACACGCACACCGCTGGCCACACCACACACCCATGCCATCCGGCCGTCCAGCAGCAAGCTGTGTATTGCCAAGTGCGCATGCGCATGTACAGTAGCTGATGGTCCAATGGTAAAGAGTTTTCGACCATAAATCGTGAAACATTTGAACAGGCAAATTGAAAAGAGAGCACAAACCATTATAGAGCTGCTTTTGCTAAATTAATGTGTCATTCCATGAATGATATAATGGTGCATACCACTGACAACAGTAAGAGGGGCAATTTCCTACTACATATCTTGCAAGAGCATCCATATGATTCATATTGCCACCTCAATCTAATCAATGACAGAATTTAATAGAGGCAGGGGCATGTACCACTATAAAAAAAATTTCTTTGCTCATGACAACAAATTTAATATCGAGAAATATTGCACAGATCAAAGACATACACAGAGAAAATGATATTCAGAGAAATCATACTGTACGTGATGATCTTGTATGGCAGTTCGACCAGCGGTCTCTTTACCACCTCCTGTACTCCGTGAGTCGGCATGATGAGTGGGAGCAGTCGGAAACACAGCAGTTTCATGATAAACCTGGTGGGCAGGAGTAGAAGAACGCCCACCACGAACCTCACAATGCTCACGCCCACCACTTGCAGTGAGGGTAGGGCCACCTCGAATCCTCCCGTCCCAATGTCATCGGGGAACCGACCATGTAAGTGGAAACCGAGAAGAGTACCTAGCCCCACTCCAAGTATGGCAGCAGTGTCCCCACGATCCATGGACCACTTATCAGCCTCCACGGGATACACGTAGAGGAGGAGGATGACAAACAGGGGTGCAGCAATCAGGGTATACTCAAAGTCGAAAACGAACCAGTCCAGGTATGTGATTGCTGGCAAGCAGAGGACCAACATGATTATTGCAACTAATAATCCGGCCAGCACGTCCTGCAAGAGAGAAATAATGCATACAAAAACAGTAGGAAAGCATCTAATCGTCCGCTTTCTAACTAGAAATGCAATGAATTATCTGTAAGTAGATGGAAGCCAAGTCTTAGAATGAATTTGAGACGATGGGGCATGTGTATTGTCAGGAAGAGGCTGAAAAAATATTACTTCAGGCAACTACAAATGTAAGCTCGCTTCACTCACCAATTACTTTTAAGTATACTTACAGCAATGTTCTCTACTTATCTACTGCTGTTGAGGAATGCGACAGATGCTTAGGATGCTCCTGTTTGCAGTCGCATGGTGCCTTGACTGACACCATCTTCTCCTACCAGTAGTGTTGATCTAATGTCACTGTGCAAGCATTTTCTCCTTCCTCACCAGCACTGTGTGAACTCCAAGATACACTCTGCTGAGGCACACTGACAGACACCAGAACAATGCCACAGGCAGTCCAAACCACAGTGACAACTGCAGCAAGCAAAACCACCAAATTGCACACATCTATAATAGCTACTAGCTTGTTTCTAGCTCACGTTATAGCGGTAATAGAGAAAGTAGAGACTATAGAATGGTATAGTTGTTGCGACGGTGGCATGGGTTGATGGAAGTCCGTATTCTGTTTCCAGGACAGGGTTCGTAACGAGGCGAATGGCCGGCGGACACGCGGGACGTTTCCACTTGAAGAGGACCTTGCAGGCCTGGCCGACGTACATCGAGATGCACCAAACCATGACTGTGTGGCGACCCAGGGCCGTGTCTGCGTTCCACACGAGGAAAGGGAAGTAGGTTATGTAGAACGGCTCGTGACCCAGCTCGGTCGCCAACCGAAAGAAGATGTTGAGCAGGGGATAAATCTCCACCACCATCTCCAATGGCTCCGGGGAAGGTGCGGGGCTCGTGGACTCCGGCGACGTTACGCGCTTCCGCGTCTTGCTGGAGAGCCATCTGTAGCCGTTTACGAGTCCGTTGCCTGCAGCGCTGGCTGCGGCGCTGGCACCGCTCCCGCCACTGGCTTCGTCATCGCTGCCCGGCCTCGGCTTTGCACTCGCCAGCGACCGCCGAGGTGAAGGGGCGTCTGAAAACTCATTGTGGTCCGCTATCTGCTTTACCCCCAACTGTTCCTGGATGGTCCGGACGAGGAACGGGTCTCCCAGATAGTCGACAGCTCGCCTCGTGATAGATATATTCCCCATTCGGAGATCTTAGGGACGACCACACCTTGCTTTTGCTATTACGCTATAGCAACAAGCCCCTGTATTGTGGTTCAGAGAGGAACTTCCGGTCCTGAACACCAGCAGCCAAAACTGTGGCCAAAACTATACCTACAGCGTAGTAGTAAAAGATTGAGCATCCTACATCGATCAAATCAAGGAGACGACCGCCCGTATATACACACACGTGTACGTACGTACGTACGTACGTACTGCACTGCGAACCGGTTAGCGCTGCGCATGCGCATTATTCCTCGTCAGCACGTGTGTTCCAACTTGCCGCCGAGAAAGCTGTGTGCGTTGCGCGAGGTATGTCTTCCAGTGCTGGTCAGAGCAAAGCCGGCGCCTTCCGGGACAAAGAAAAGCCGCATGACGTGAGAGTCAGCAACATAACGGCCGCCAAGGGTAAGTAGTGCGTTGGTACATATATTTGGAGGAATGGACTGCCTTTTTCGCCTCGTTCAGCTGTAGCTGATGCCATCAGAACAAGTCTAGGGCCCAGAGGCATGGACAAAATGGTGATGTTTGCTTTTCCCTTGCCCTTCTAATGCTGTGTTACACATTGCATTACATCGTATGTGTCTGGTGTGTATGTACGTACAGATACAGAGCAGTAGTGGGGATGTGACTATCACAAACGACGGAGCCACCATCCTGAAACAGATGCAGGTTCTTCATCCAGTGGCCAGAATGGTAAGTCGGTCAATAGGTCAATCTCTCTCCTCAGGTGGGTCGGTCACGTGTGTTGGCCTCCGTCACTAGGGGGAAGGGGTCAGGTATCGTCACATTATATTCCTGTCAGATTGGAATGCTTACCCTATACCGCAGCATTTTACACTTCTCGCTCATGGTTGTACAGTGGAACCCCTATAATCTGGATGCAAATGGGGCCTAAAACAGTTAGTGGTGGCTTCGTTTCAGGGATCATAATAAGTTAAAGAAAAGGGGAGAGGTGTCCTCATTTCAGGGGTGTCCTTGGAGAGGGGTTCCACTGTAGTGATTCACTGTTGTTCCCTGCTCCTGACCGTAGCTGGTGGAGCTGTCCAAGGCACAGGACATTGAGGCAGGAGATGGTACCACCACGGTCGTCGTCATTGCTGGCAGTCTCCTCTCTGCCTGCCACAAGCTGCTCGAGAAAGGTGCGCTCAGTTAGTATGACCAGTGAGGAGGTTTGGTCAACACCTCAGTGGTAAATGCCCGTACAAATCACTCGGTGATTGCACAGTGAAACCTGAAAACAGTAGACTCGGAATAAAGGGAATGTTCCCATGTGTCCCTCTTTTGGGAGGCTCTACAGTATCTCAGTCGAGTATTTGCCAACTACTGTACTCCTGGTTTACTTCTGTGGCAGTCATAAGTTGTTCAACTTAAACCTCCTTTCTCTCACATGTTGTGTGTGTGTTGTGTAGGTATCCATCCGACCACAATCTCCGACTCCATCCAGCTGGCCACTGAGAGGGCAGTGGAGGTCCTGACGGCCATGTCGTCTCCTCTCTCTCTCAGCGACAGAGAGTCACTCCTCAAGAGTGCCACCACCTCCCTTAACTCCAAGGTCTGTCAGACTCTTTGCGGTGTGGACACACTGTGTGGAACAGTCACACATTTTCTCTTCCGTCTGGCATTGTATCATAGCTGTAGGATTTCGTTACCACAACAAATGCTTGCAACACAACACATTTTTGGCGAGTGGGTGCAAACGTTCACATCAAACATCCCAGTATGTGAGGTACCCATTCATACGTATAGAAAAATCATGTACTCAAAACGACTAGGTACAGGCTCGCTTCGCTCGCCAATGCAGCGATTTCGAGGAAGAAAAGTGAAACAGTGTTAGTATAAGCTGATGAATACAGTTCATGCACATTTGCAGCTGTAAACTGCAGGGAGAGTCTTGATAAACTGGTAATTGGGTGTGCATATGTGCCTGTGTGTGTGTGTGTGTAGGTTGTGTCGCAGTACTCCAGCCAGCTAGCTCCCATCGCCGTGGATGCAGTCATGAGAGTGGTGGACCCAGCCAAGGACACCAACGTCAATCTCAAAGACATTAAGATTGTCAAGAAACTTGGGTATGGAGCTAGGCACTTTGGTATATATGCCTTTTACACAACACGTGTTTTGCTTCTCTACTCTCTACATACATGGCTCAGTCTGTTGGCTAGTGTGCGTGTTTTATTTACGTACTTCTCTTACTCCACTTCTCCCATCTATATACTCCCCTCTCCAACCTCTCCACCCTCCTTCTCTCCCCTCCCTCTCTCCCTTCCTCCCCTCCCTCCCTCTCTCACTTCCCTGGTACACAGAGGTACAGTGGAGGACACAGAGCTGGTGGAGGGGTTGGTACTGGACCAGAAGGCATCCCATCTGGCTGGTGGGATCACACAGGTCGAGAAGGCCAAGATTGGACTCATTCAGTTCTGCATCTCTCCTCCAAAGACAGATGTAAATGAACAGAACAACACGTGTGATACAATGCTGGTAGTGGCATTTTGGCTGTACTTTAGAATTAGTTTACTATGGCAGCGGTTTGGCTCTGATGACTATGTATGTGTAGTGTCTTTTCGACTGGTGTTTGCGATGTGTCAAGTACAGTGGTCTTAATTCCTATCTCCCACTCTCTTTTCCTCTTTGATCTATTCTCCCTCCCTTCCTCTCTCTCTCTACTCTCCCTCCCTCTCTCCCTCCCTCTGTCCAGATGGAGAACCAGGTGATAGTGTCAGACTACTCTCAGATGGACCGCATACTGCGAGAGGAGAGACAGTACATTCTCGACATCTGCAAGAAGATCAAGAAGGCTGGTTGCAACGTTCTGCTCATCCAGAAGTCTATCCTCAGGTGTCTGCCTTTCTGTCTAGTGTATCTGTACAACTCAGCCCCGGTCTTGCTCAGTTACATACAGACCGTTTACCATGTAATGTAATAGGAAACTTTAATGGTGGAAGGTATCGTATTTTTAGGCCCATCAGAGGCAGGGCCCGTATTATGTACAGCAGATAAGCAACAAGCAATTCTGTCGACAATTGTACGTACTGCGAATTGCAGGCAGTTTTTCCTTCCAACGATTCTGTTGGTCTATAAAAACCAAAGAGCTTCATCGACACTGTTGCATATGAGACCAAAACGGTTTACTAGTAAGTGGAAGTGTGTGTGTATGATACAAGCTATTGTAAACAAATGCACTTTGACTCCCAGTGTGTTGTGTTGTATTGCAGGGATGCAGTGAATGAGATGGCTCTCCATTTCCTGGCCAAGATGAAAATCCTGGTGGTTAGAGACATTGAGAGAGAGGACATTGAGTTTGTCTGCAAGGTACGTAACTGCTCCACACCAAAGTTGTTTTACCTCCTGATCTAAGTATTGTATAATTATAGTCATTCTTTGGTTGTTTTACTATGTGAGCAGAAGTTAACCATGTGCATCGAACTGGCTAGTGAACATAGATCCTCCATTTGATCTGAGCTACTGATGTCATATAATTGATTTTTTCCTCTCTCTCCTCCGCTGCGGCCTCAGACTCTAGGCTGCCGCCCCATTGCCAGTTTGGACCACTTCCTCCCGGAGCACCTAGGGACCGCCGGCCTCGTGGAGGAGGTTCCCACGGGAACCAGCAAGATCGTCAAGGTCAGTACCCTATTGAGAGCCCCTCCACCATACAGTACCGGTCAAAAATAAAAGTCAACGTACAGTACCGTACATAGACAATACTTCAACTGTACTATTATAACAGTACTCGAACGGTACTAACAACAGTACAGTAACTGTAGCTTAGCGAACCGACGTTGCAGTACTCACAAGCGAGAGGTGCCGTACTCGCGACAGTAATCAGTAGCCGGGCGCTTAGCGGGTGCATGTACATAATAACCTGCCTGCTCTGGGCCGGAGACTGCCGACTGGCAAACCGACTACGATGGACGGTCAAGCGAGCGAGCGTGGGAGACGGAGAGTGCGTCAATATTACTAGTAGGTGAGAGAGTACACCGGCAGAAGAAGGCGGGGCTAACGAAAGACAACAGAGCGAGCAGAGAGAGCTCCGTGAGGCTGCCCCTGGGGCTCGGTAATCGCTCTTTTTCACCCGTTATCTAACGTGTAGCCTCGCACGTGTATATACCATACTCGAACATTACTTGAACAGTACCAAGAGGGTATATACTTGAACAGTACCAAGAGGGTATATACTTGAACAGTACCAAGAGGGTATATACTTGAACAGTACCAAGAGGGTATATACTTGAACAGTACCAAGAGGGTATATACTTGAACAGTACCAAGAGGGTATATACTTGAACAGTACCAAAAGGGTACTTGAACAGTACCAAGAGGGTATATACTTGAACAGTACCAAGAGGGTATATACTTGAACAGTACCAAGAGGGTATATACTTGAACAGTACCAAGAGGGTACTTGAACAGTACCAAGAGGGTATATACTTGAACAGTACCAAGAGGGTATATACTTGAACAGTACCAAGAGGGTATATACTTGAACAGTACCAAGAGGGTATATACTTGAACAGTACCGCAACAGTACTTATAGTCTGGTACGTTAACCTTTTTTTGCCGGTACTGTATGTACCTAAGTGTTTGCTGTACAATCAATGTACGTACATGTAGTGGAACCCCAGGTTTTGTTGGCCAACACAATGCACCTTTGGGGTAGAGAGTTTGTAGAATGTGTGAGTCAAGCTTGGAGCCCTATTGTAAACAGTAAATTTATGCTTTCCGTTGCTACTTCGGACAGCTCGTACAAGTGAGGTGTATTGTAAGTACACACGAGTACAAAATGACATCACATCCTCCGTTCCTTCGTGCATATTAGTTTGATGTGCAGGTACATACAGCTGCTGTGTATACATAGTGCATTTGGTGTCTGCTATTGTGTGTCTCCAGATTACAGGGGTTCCGTCCACGGCCCGCACAGTGTCAGTTGTGGTGCGTGGCTCCAATAAGCTGGTGCTGGAGGAGGCCGACCGCTCCCTCCATGATGCCCTCTGTGTCATCAGGTGCCTCGTCAAAAACAGGTTCGGTATGCCATTCATGCTTCCCTTTATACCCTAGAACAAACAACAACACTTTCTCCTCATCCACAAGTGTTAAAACATTTGTTTTTTCTAAAATACTACTATAGAACTAGTATAACTGTGGCTAAAGTGTGTACTGTACGATGCACCACATGTGTACGTTGCTATGGATCTAAGTGTTTACCGTACGATGATGTAAGTATGTACACGTACACTGCTTAGTGGGAATTGATTCAGTGATAGTGTGTCTAGTACTGCTGAACTTCTATATTCACTCATTGTGGCCTTTACATACTAATTTACATGTGCAGCATTTATAGTCTGTTTGTCCGACATTTCACAACTTTCTGCATTTAAATAAGAATGACCCCGTGATTAAAATGACCAGGTTTTAATGCATACACTGCAGGGCTCTGATAGCCGGAGGAGGTGCACCTGAGATCGAGGTGTCCCAGCAGCTGATGGCCTACTCGCAGGGTCTGACTGGGATGGAGTCTTACTGTGTCAGGGGTTTTGCAGAGGCAATGGAGATCATTCCCTACACGCTGGCCGAGAACGCCGGACTCAACCCCATCGCCGTCGTGACTGAACTGAGGAACAGACACGCCAAGGGAGAGAAGAATGCTGGCATCAACGTCAGGAAGGTCAGTGCTGCACGTAGGTTTGAAGTTGGGGGTTGTCATTAGACGGAACTGGTTGGAAGATTAGCCTCGTTCTCTGCTACTACTTGTACGCGTACGCAGTGTGATTGTTGCGCATGTAGGACAGTTGGAGTGAAAATTTGGAATTCGTGCCTAGGGCTATTGATTTGATTACATTATGCACATTTGATGTGTGCCGATACCTTTATAGTTTATAGTGTTCAGATGTGTGCTCCGAATATGTCTACACGTGTATGGTGATAGAGCAGTGATGAGTTCTGCTAATCGTCCGTGTTTCTGACATGATACTGTGTGATCTCCCACAGCAGACACTGAGCTCACACCAACACCGTTTTCTCATTCGCTCTAAAACGGCCATCTTCCCTTGTAATAATTCCTGAAGTCGTATATATGTAATTTCTAAGCTTGACTGGTAAGCTGAAGAGGTAAGAAAACTGTTCGGTCGTCCACACGATCAGTGTGACTGAACTTGACTTTGCACGTACATGTATGGATTAGTTGGCAACTGCTCAACATGCACCATTCACATTCCAATCGCTTTGTATAGTAAGGCCGAACCATAAAATTGTGGAGTACAGTATGCGTCCTTCCGTGAACACTCGGTTCAAAATATATGGGAGCACAACGGAGGACTTCGCAAAGGGTGTGAACGGAGGTCAAATGTGGCACATGCATACTTGAACGTGAAAGGTCGTACATTGGAAGTTTTTTCTCATACTGTAGGTCAAAACTTGATTGCCCAGTGCTGGTGGAAAATGGCCTTCCCAAATTTCCCTTGTTACGACTAAGTTTTGAGTCACAAAATTTTTGTTGGTTATTCAATGCAAGAAACAACATTTTGAAACTTCTCCCATACTTTTCGGTTTTCTTGCGGCTGCAAGTTAAACAGACAATTGTGTACACGATGTGCCCATGGAATGAAGCAATGATGAGTTCTGCTAATGGTCCGTGTTTCTGACATGTACTGTATGATCTCCCACAGCAGACACTGAGCTCACATCAACACAAGGAATCTATTATCCTCTGCTCCCAAACTTTGTTGTCCAACTCCCTATTGAATGTATATACACTCTCAACAATGTCCCTCAGTGTTGTCTTTATATACTCCCAGGGAACCATCACAGACATGCTGGAGGAGAACGTGGTGCAGCCTCTCCTGGTGTCCACCTCAGCCATCAAACTGGCAGCTGAGACTGTTAGGAGTATCATGAAAGTGGACGACATCGTAAGCTGAATAAATACTCACTCCCAATGCGTTTGTTCTCCTTACGTATCGTTTGCTGCAGATCAATGCTCGGTGAAATAGTGTAGGTGCTGTAGAATCCTTCAGCCAAGAACTCTGTTGTTTAGCACGTTTGTATAATTATATGTGCTGTATATACCACTGTACGTTATTATCTAACATGCTATACTATTATAGTGAAGGAATGTTCCGTGTTTATCGCAAGCAAGCTAATAGGACTGTGACTGTGCACGTGTCTGTGATGACTATATAACTGGGGAAGTTGTTGGGGGTGTCCAAATGTTTTTTGGGCCTAGTTTATTAGCCTAAACAGTGGTGTACACAGCAGTTTCCGTTTCTCTAGATTTGTTTTTTGCTTCTTGTTTCCTACATTCTATGTATATACTACCTGGTATTATAACCACACCTGCTCCAAAGGATCTACAACGCATTTTCCGCAATCACATGCACGTAAACTTGCATAAGTAATGCTGGAATATTGCTGAATTAGTGACTGTTTGGTGTGCGCATTACTACAAAATTGGTCTTACAAGTGGTTTAAACATGCGGAGTGTATGTATGATGTATGTTCAGTTATCTGTTACAAATTGACGGAGCTGGAGGAGTCCAGCGGATGTCCAGAGAAGCTCAAATCCTCATAGTCACTCTTGTCGGTGCAGACTCCTAGCTTCAGTGGTGACTCCTTTATCCACACACACAACAGCACGATAAAGTAGGCTAGTGGTGTTAGAATGAAGATTCCACTTATGACAATGCCAGCAACAGGAGCCGTGTTGTATCGGTCAAATGAGAGCGCGTAGGTCATGAACCCAGCAATGAATCCGATGGCCGAGAGCCACAGCAAGATTTCAACGTTGTTGTAGATGTCATACTGTTTCTTGTAGGGACGTAGTGTTACTATACCAGCTATAACGGCGATGAGAAAGAGTGCGAATGTTGGAAAGACGATGTCATCGTGACATACGGCATACCAACCTGATCCTATTAACCTCAGGAGGGGGTAAACGGCAGAGAAATACCTACACTCCCACCCGCCGTCAGTTCTGTCCCGATAGTTACCCTGAAAACACTCCATGAATGTCCTCACCCCTGGGCTGTTGAGGTGAAATCTGTTGAGCAATCTCTGGAACCGTTTCATGGGGTAGAGAACGAGGAATAGTGGGAACAGTAGCCCTATTCCAATTACCGTTACAGCGATAATGGCTAAGGGCCTATGACTGGGACCAAAAAGCTCAACGGTTGAATCATAGTAGAGAAAGAGCCCTACTCGAGAGCCGTGTATATCCACAATGTGTTCGAATACCAGGAGGTCTACGGAGGTGTACATGAACTTCATGTAGGACAGGAGAATGAAAGTTGCAAACGCGTCGATGATGGAGCTTCTGATGTGCCATTGTCGTCGCGTCCGCGCAGCGCACCAAAGGCATGGCTTCAACAGCCTGACGACCGGTCTGTATCCTTTGTCGTGCGCCGTCACTAGAACGTAGAAGAAAACTAGCAGCAGCAGCGGGTAAGCAGCAGACAGGTAGTCGAGAGCGATCACTTGCAGTGTGTTTAGCGGGAGGCAGATCGGAGGGACGATCGCTCGAAAAAAGTCCAAGTTCCATACTCCGTAGAGCGTGGCGATGAAGTCAAAGAAGATCATGACGGTGGTGCCCCGCGTGTACTGCCTGAGAACTCGTAGACTCACCGGTAGCGAGTAGGTTTGACACAACAATATGACCAGGTTGTAGCGAGGAGACGTGAAAGAGATGTGAAACAACACCACGGCCGCCAAGAACAGCGTCGGAGGGAGAAGCGCAGCCAGTAGATATGCGAAAATGTTACCAACCAATCCTGTGCTGCATCGGTAGCACTTGAGATCGTAGGAGTAGGCAGATACGTAGTGTTCAGACTTGCACGCTCCGCACAGTCTCCCCTCGCGGTTCAGGTACCCGCATAATTGCTCGTCTTGCTCGGTGATGTTCGGCGCCACTCTCACGTAGAGTCCGGCCCCTCCCTCCGTGGCCGTCCCGTGGTTCTGACCGTACAAGCAGCTACCGACCACAGCCTCCGTCGGATCTCTGCTCGAGTCGAAGCTAGTGAGACAGAACGAGCTCAGAATGCCGACCTCTCCCGTCTCGTTGTTGCAGGTGATGACGTTGACGAGATGGCTCCCACAAGTGCACCAGCCTTCCTCCGAGCGGTAGAGCCACGTCGGACACGTTTCATTGCTGCAGTAGCAAAGAGGTGGAAGACTGGAGGCTAGAATAACGGTAAGTAGTGATGGTAGGTGTTTCCTCATTGTCGACTAAGCCCAATTCTACTTGTTTGACGCGAAATAATCAGCTAAGAACGCCACTGCACTGATAATTGAGGAACGCCCCCGGCAGTAAGCTTGTCGTGCACGCTTCGACGCAGTAAATAAAGTATGCCAAACTCGAACTGTAGTAAAAGTATTGAGGATAGTTTGTTTGTCTCATTTTTTCACTCATGTGCCTAATCAAAAATGCAAAATCGTTAACATCCTTACTGGGGATTGGTAAAAGGACAACGAAGAAGGTGAGATATTTAGTAAAGCAAGATAGACTATTCCATATTCCAAGTGTAGTTGAAATACCATGGACAGTTGGTTTGCCTTCACTCTGTGCTTACCAAAAAAGCAAAATCCCTGACACTGTATTTTGGGGGAAGGGGGGAAGGGTAGGTGAGGGGAGAATTTGTAATGGTACAGCAAAATTAGAATGGGTGGGTTGAGATAGACAGTGGTTGGTCTCTTTTTCGCTCATGCGCCTCCTTATTTTGGGGTTGGGAAAGTGAGATGGGGATAGAAGCAGCGAGATAGAGTACATACATTACTATTCCATACTAAAACTGTAGTCAAAGTATTGGTTTGTCTCATTTTTACTCATGTGTCTAATAAAAAAATGCAAAATCATTAACACCCTTATTGAGGACAGTGAAAAAGGTGAGCTAGGGATTAGTAAAGCGAGATAGGGATAGGGGCAGCAAGATACTGTACCTTACCAAATAGCTGGTTTGTCCCTTTTTTACTCATGTGCCTAATCAAAAATGCAAAATCCTTAACACTTTTGGGGTTTGGTCTGCGAAAAAGAGGCGAGATAGGGATTAGTAAAGTGAAATATGGATAGGGGCAGCGAGATACTGTATGTTACTATTCCATACTCCAACTTTAGGCAAAGTCTTAGGCATAGTTGGTTTGCCTCTTCTTCACTCATCTGCCTAATCAAAAATGCAAAATCATTAACACCCTTGTGGTTGGGGTTTTGGGGTTTGGTCTATGAGATAAGAATGAGATGGGGATAGGTGTAGCAAATTAATATTGCATACTCTAAATGTATAGTTTGTTTGTCTCTTCTTCCAGTCCTTGTATCAGTTCTCTTCATAGCCTTTGAGTCGTGGAATTTAAATTTCTTGAAGCCTGTCATCCCACCATTTTGCATCAGTGAAAAAGTCAAAGGGATTCACGTACTAGCACTCACTCACTGTCTGCGGTTTATCCCATATTTCTTGTCATGGTCTTATTGGTGGTCATTGAGCTACATTCAAGGAACAATACCATAGTTCGTGTTGCAGTAAAGCCTTTCAGATTTGTTCTAAAGAAAACCAGCATTAAAGCTGTCACCGGTGATGCCGTTCTTCGTACCTTTGCAACATTCGTGTTTCTCTCGACCGCCAAAAACTTGTTCACTTTTTACGCTATGATTAGATTCTATCATATATTTAAAAGCATTGATGGTTCCCCCGAGTATGTGTCTTATGCATGATAGATGTATGATGTACAGGTCCACGGCCAGACTGGGACCCTGATATAGTGGCCAGTCTGGACGATCCTGACTCAAACTTTGACATTGACAACCAACTGGACGACGACTTTGTTCTACAGGTACTACGACCTTTAAAGGAATGATTCAGTACCGTGTACAAACGAGTTCTTTTGGCAGATCCCGCCATTGATTATCTCAGTCCCACTCACATCATGTTCATGATAATACCGTTGCTCCAGTGTCTATTTCTTGTATTCATCCCATCTTTACTTCTCATCATCTATCCTACAAGACTCTATAGATCACTCTCGCAATTTATAAGTGCCAGAAAGCAACTTGCAATTACCAGTTTTGTTGAATCTCTCAACGGTTGTTTTAAAGACGGTCTGAATGGCACTCGTGACTACAGGGCATATGCTGGACTTGTAATGTTGTTCCCTTTGTGGATACTAGTTGTTAGTTACTTACCTTTTTGCTCTGGATTATCACTCAAAATACGTTCATGCTATGTTTTCTCACTCTTATCATTGCTTATATCGTATAAAAGGCCATTCAAGTCAACCGTTACTAACGTGTCAGTAAGTTATTGTTTCATTGTGTTTGGATTGGGAAACGTTGTGGTCTATCTCTGGTATTACCAGGTTTCCGTCTCAAGTCTGGCCCTGGAGGTGGCTTTCTTCCTCACTGGTATCTCTGTCCTTGTCCCAGTGGTGGTCTGGACACTATACAAAGTCACCTGCTATGCTCTGAGAAGGATTTCCACCACATGCTAGTTGTAGAAACTCTGAAGCAACACTTTCAATTGACTTGAATTACCAGTTTCATGGTGAAGTATTGTGCATTTCTACTAGATATATAGTTTTCACTGCTGTTCATTTGTATCACTATATATAGGTTAGACGCGGAAGCGAGGTGTCTACGCTACATTGCAACCCGAGGGGCTGTGGAATGTTGGCGTCCCGAGCGCAGCGAGGGCGCTACCCACATGCCCCGAGGGTTGCAATGTTGCGTAGACAACCGAGCTTCCGCGTCTAACCGGTTTAGACCGGAGTATCTGATTGGTGTTTGCGCGTTCAAATGGGTAGCAACAAGCTAGCAACGCTGCGCCTCATTCCTCATTCCTTACCTTCGGATGGAATAAGACGCTTTTTTTTACGTGTGAGACTCCGAGGAGACAGCCCCCGCCCCCCGTTAAAAATCCTTTACGTCATCATAAAACGCCCTCATTGGTGGTGCGCGTTTGAAAGGGTTAGCAACGCACGGCAACGGCCCAATGTGTTTGTGTATCGCCAGAGCTGAAGAAGCCGACGCTTTTTTCGTGGAATATTGACGTGATTTCTGACTTTCGCGAGCTCCGGAGACTGTCCACAGACTTCTTGCAGGTGCACTACGCATTTTAAAAGAGCTACTTTGCCAGTCGCGCCTTCTACGCTTACATATACCGAACGCGGAATCGGCCGGTTTGCGCAGATAACGACTTTTGAGAATAGCCATTTTGTACGGGGAGTTTGCTGTAGACCACCTGCAAACGCCATTAGACACCTGAAACGAGGTGTCTATGAAAAATAAACCCCCCGCAATTCTGTAATCTGATTGGTCAATTGCGCGTGACTGCGGTCTAAACAATGTTATATAGCTACAGAGTTGGCAGAATAAAGTGACAGTTCATGCGCATTTGTTATTCATTCTCTATGGTGAGGATGAATATTACATGATCCCACGTATAAAACACCTATTATACTCTCCACACTTATTGGGCCCATGAGGCATTCCATCCATCATTGTCTCTATAATATACTGAAACATTATACTCAAGTGTTTCTAAATTAGAACGTCAGTTTGACAAAAACTTCTATAATAATTATTATGGCATACAATCAAGCAGAGATACACACGATATGGTATAACAGTTACTACACACAACTTCCTCTATTTTCTAACAGTTGAACAGGTTTTCTTATGCTGGGGCCAGTGCAGTTGTTGGCATTCCACACTGCAGTACAAGGCATCTCGACATTTACAGTGTTGCAAAAAGGACTTTGTCTTGCCACAATTGTAGCATTTGTAATCTTTCTTGGAGGTTTTAATGTCTGCCATTCTCTTGCTTTCAGTCCCTGTCGCTCTCTTGTGTTCAGGAGGGGAATGTGGTTTGGTTAGATCTAGTGAGGTTCTGATACAAGCCTCACTGTGTACTGGCTGCTCAAGTGTCTTGCAGACTTCACTGCAGTAGGACACCTGCTTGCACTTACAGGTGATAGTTGCTGGTTTCTTACACCTTTCACATTCATTGCCACTGTTCTTCCAAGGCGAGTGAGTTTTCGGTTTTCCTTGTGGGACTTGCGTCTCTTCTATTTCTGCACTTGAATCGGATGAGCGGACTTTCGTTGTAGTCATGTGATAAGACAATTTTTTGCAATTTTCGCTATGCCCAGGCCGTTCTAGTGTTTGACATGCCTTGCTGCAGTAGGACACCTGCTGGCATTGACAGACTATTGCTGCAGGTTTCTTACATCTTGCACACTGAGTGGTGTCTGAGGAGCTCTTTACATCTTTCTTAGCTTCATCTCTCTTTTCTTCTAAACATTTTGGATTATCATTGGTCAATTCATGAGACAAGGTGGCGTCGTTCTGCTTGCAAACGAGGCTGTGAAAGTTCCTATGCATTTCCTGGCATTCGCTGCTACAGTAGCTTGCTTTCAGACACTGCTCACATTTCAAAGGCACAGCAGAGGCTTGGCAGAAAGAGCAAACATCGTTTCTTCCTTGGCCCATCATTAAAACCTGCCTGGTAGGAAGATCTCCAGGCCGCCTTATTCCACTAGTAGCACCAAGGGCATTTATAAACTTTTTGAATTTTTGGTATGTTGAATTGGCAGGGTTTGGGTAGAGAGGAAACAGTATTGCATGGTCAAAATGTTCCCACAGCTTGTGTGCTTCAATTGCCCTTGTGACAATGTTCAAATCACTGCGAAATGGACAGCGGATGGTGGAAGAAAAATATTTGAAAACAGTTTTTAGAAACTCATATTCCGCATCATTCACCATTACATTACGTGAGAGGCCAAGAATGTTGATCAATTCTTGACCATAGGCCATTCTGTGAAATTCACTTAGTAAATGCTGTGGTTTTGTATCAAGGAAACAGTATGACACATCAAGAGCAGGAGAGGAAAAAACAGTGTTAAATCGTAAATTATGAACATACACAAGGGCATAAACATCAGGAGAATTCGCCAAACGCTTGCTTGGAAATGAAAAAGTGAAGAATTTATGTCCATCCAAAGCATGCTTAAATAACTCTGTGAATGACAGTTTTGCATTGCAAAGGGGATGATCTGACCTATTGTATGATGCCTGAAGGCTGCAAAATTTTTCCATTTCATCAGTGCCCAAGTGAAACTTTGGATGAATTATTGGATTAATGAAGTAGGTTGATTTCTCGTTTAAGATGAGACAGCCGTCACGCTTCACCACCACAGAAATTATGCGATTCTTCTTGAAAATTTTAATGTGTGTCTTGGATTCATCAATGGCATAAGGATAAGAAATGGTCAATTTTAAGTCACCACAGAGTAACTGAAGCTGGGTTTGTTGAAGGCATTTTGCATCCAACTTTGATTCCTTTATCACATTCATGAAGGCATCACTCATTGATATAACTGTTTCAAACGTGTCGGCATCCCCAACATGCTTTGCAATACATCCCAGTTTGCACACACCACCGTCACTTTCAGTTCTCAATGCTCTTTTCATAAACTCGTAGTCATGTGTAGGGGAACGCTCAAGGTGTTCCACCGGACCACAATACACTTCTTTTTGTACCAAATGTTGGTGCATTTCGACACGAAGAAGACTAAACTGGGCAAGGTAGTGTTTTGGCAAAAAGAACGTCAAATCCAATTTTGATTTAGAACAGGTGATTGAGTATGATTTCAGAATAGCCAAGTCCCCCAAGGAAGAAGCAAACTGTATTTCAAATGTAGGGGGATTGTATGGCTGCATATCAAAGCTGTCAATGTCTAAAGACAGAGATAATTGCTGGATGTAGGTATCAACTGACTGACCCCTACAGACCGGGCAGTCGTCCTCTGCCAGTGTGAGATGCATGTGGATGTCGTGCAGCAGTGACTGAGTTTGCAATTGAATGAGGTGAGGCTTCAAACAAACCTCCTTCTTAATTGAATCACAGAGTGGCTGTAGGAACTCGTGAACAGGAGTGCTAAACTGCACCCGTGTCAAAAATTTATGCAAGACACATAAGTAACTATCAAAAGATCCCGTGACATCTACCGATGACAAAATAGTATTTGAGCAACATAACTTAAGAAGCGACTCAACTGCATGTTGATATTCTTTGATACTCTCGGAAATCAGCAGATTAGAGGTAACATTCCTCCAAATTAAACTTGTGCTATATAATTGAAGAAGATTTGGATTTGGATCATGGTTTACAGCTGGTGCATAATGGCCATCATGACCAATGCAGTGAATACCAAGGAAAACAGGGAAAAGCTCAGGTAAAAAGCTGAAATTGTTTCCCAGGTAAGGATCCACGAATTCAGTGGAAAATGTCTCTGTGAACAACTTACCAGTTGGTTTCAAAAGGGGCAGGGCATTAAGCACTAAGGCAGGTGGGGAGACATGATCCATGAGATTGGAAGTGTATATTGCATCAAAACGCAGCATCTTAGTCCAAGAGAAACACAAGCTTATGCAGTCTTCCAAAACGAATCTAAATGATACAGTAGATGAATTTTTGATGGTATTGGCTGTAGCTTGCAGCCACATGGTAAACTGCTGGACACAGTTGGCTAAGAGAGGACTCGATTTGAACTCTGCATCACTTACAGGCAAGAGCTGTTTTTCAGCTCTACCTAAGTTAGCGTGCGTGTAAAGAAAGCTCAGAATAAAGCCCTTGTATGGAGTTAACTCATAATGAAGGGTGTATATTCCACCTGCATGCTCAAACAGTGTAGGATTAACAACTGTTTTGGAATTAGCTACCGGAATCCCAAGGACCGTCTCTGCCCACACAAAGCCGTCACGAAGATATTCCAAAAATTCTTTCTTAATTGTCGCAAATGTTTTAGTTGAATGTAAGAAAGAGACTTTTTGTAGCAGAACATCTAATTCCACGTATTTTTTCAAGCCCTCCTCTCTATTTTTACACCCTATCTTTTTCATGTGATAGAACTGGAAATGGTTTCTTTTTGACTTCATTTCCTCAATAGACATTGTAAAAGACTGCCATTTGCACCAAACCCCCTTCACTGCAGCAAAAGTAGCTGGGGAAGCGAATTCCACAAGCTTTCCCAGG